TGGTAATTATTTTTCACCAAGATACAATCATGTCAGTGGTGTAGTTAAATTCAGCCCCTTTGACCAGTGAGCCGGTGGTCCTGCTGAAAATAATCAGTAAGAATAGCAGGTCTCAAAGGGAAGTATTTCTGAGGGCATGACTTGCTTGACTGTCAAAAAAGTGTAAGAGAGTGACTGACAAGCTGTTTGGAAATACAGACCAGGAGGTCCATTCACTGTCTGACCCAGGCTACACAGAGGGCTGCACATAGTAGTAATTTATTAATATCATTTTGCCATCATTTTGCAGCAGATAAACGATTTCCATTCTTTTAGCTTGTTGTCTTGCCTTATCTTGCTTGAACTTTATTAAATTCTAATGTTTAAATATGTAAACAAAACCCCACAGTAATTATGTTTTTAAACATTTTATAGTGTTAGGTATTAACAAAAAAGTAAATATTAAAAAAGCCATGGTGTTGTAATTGTTGAAAAAAAAACAAACAATAAAATTAGATATTTCTCTCTACATTGAAATATGTAAAAGACCTCACTTTCGGTTTCGGTTATTGTACAGTTTAAAGTTTTGTTGGCATTTCTTGGATTTCTTGCAAGCCGTTACATTGTGGTGCCGAAGAAGACAACACGAGACTCTGCATTAATATGTGGAGAAGGACAATAGGCTCACCTACCCGGAGAACAAAGTTTCCGATCTAAAACAATACAAAAGGATGAATGATCTTTTCAACACTGGGCTACAGAATAAACCCTGATCATTCACTGATGTAGCAGCCACTGACAACTGAGGAGAACCAGGAGAGGTGAACTTTTAGTCTACAGAACAAGAGGTGGTCACCTTTCCAGTCCAATGGGATTGACCTGAACTGTGAACTCATCAAAGCTTGCCGCCCCTGCTGAGGAAAAACTCTAAGGATCAACATGTCATTCTGAGGTTTGTCAATAGAAAGCAAAAAACAGCTGTGCTTCGACAAGAAAGGAAGCTAAGAGGGACTAATGCATACGTCAATGTACGTCTGACAAAGAAATGCCAACATCACCAAAAAGGCCAGGTTCCTGAAAAAGTAAGGGAAAGCCAGGCAACATGTAAGGCAAACTGCCTTAAGCTGAATGGATCACTGGAGAATCAAAGGGTATGGTCATTCGGAGTACAAAGGAGCAGGAGAAATACACCTGAGCCATACTGGGACATAAGGTAATCCTTACTCACAAATAGGATGACACAATCAGCATTAACCGACTCATTGATATTAGCACATATTATATCAGTAGCTGAGACTGTGGATTACAAACCTTTGAAGCTCATAACCTTTAAATATTTGGTGTGTGGGCTTAAGCAGGCTCTATAAACTGGTCTCAACTGGTCCCAGCCATCTCCAAAAATTCTAGCTTTGCCACTAATACTACAATCAATAAACCATCTATTTCTGAAATTCAAACTTACATCACTTTGCACCTTTTTTGAAGATCTGTTGTGCACAGAAAAACACATATGCACCTGTTTTAAGACACACAAACTTTCTGAGGTTCAGGCCCTTAGTGTTTTGTACAGAACACAATATTCCTGGTTCAAAAATTTTTGGATGGGATTTGTCTTCCAGTCCTCTCAAGGCTGCATCAATCCCTGTTGCTAAAAAACTTTTTAGCCACCTTTTATCATTTTGACATCAATGGGCTGGCCCAATAATTATTGCCAGATACACCTGATGGCTAATCCAACCCCGAGCACCACATAGTGCCAATAAAATAGGTGTTAGATTCAATTTGACAACTCTTAGCAGCCCCTGTTTATTTTTGTTCATGTTTGTTCATTCATGTTTTATGAATTTAACATATTAGATCAGAGGTTTTATAAAACTTCCTTTAGCTCCTAAGATAGTAGTATCTTTGAAGTAGAGTGAACTTAGCTTTGCTTAAAGACGACATTCTAAACTCATTAATATTATTGTTAGATATACTTTGTCAGTAATATAATAGCAACACTGATACGTGACACCAAGGGTGTAACTTTGTACCTTTTTTTGGTGGGGACGCTCTAAGGATAGTGGCTGATGGACCTACAGCTACTCAACCCAAACAGTTTCACTAGCGTTTATATTTTCCAAAAATTAGCTCAAACATATATTTATTGAATGCTTTCCTATTGTTGAGCACAGAAGAGAACCACTGATAACACTGATATTTATAGTTATAGACAGATGCCTGCCTTTAGTGCATTATTTATAAAGGGTTTAGAAATATTAATGTATAAAAAAATGACAAATAACAGCCGATATTGATGCCAGCAGCAATATATATCATGCATCCCTAGTATGGATACAACTTCAATTCCATCCATCCACACATGGCTTCACTTTAAGGTGCATCAGTGATTATCCTCCCTCACAAGCAGCAAAATCAAATTTAGAAATTTGTCCCATATGTTGTTGACAGCGAATGTCTATCTTCTGAACCTTATATTTCAAAAATCATTTATATACTGATTTTTATTATTTGCGCTTTAATTCTTGCAGGTTTCTTATATTTTAATTTGACGTGTCTCGTGTGAGTCTGGCTGTCTCTGGGTTGACTGGCACAGCTATTTCTGGGTCTTGTTCAACTACAAAAGACATGTTGAATTTTCTTATAGCATTGAGTATTTTTTCTTGTAAATTTGGAGATATATATTTTATTGCATGTTGTATATCCCAGTAAATCTGTTTTACCTTTAAATCAGCAGCTGTCCCTAATTGTGTCTCTGCTCTGCTTAAAACAGATTTATGAACCTGTCTACCAATATAATGATGCCAGAGAAAATCATTTTTAAGATATCTAGAAGCTCTGCAGTCTGATTCTCTGTTCAATAGGAAAACAACAGATATGTGTTCATTCTAATCTGGAACTCTGAGTAATGGTCCTGAGAAGCCCAGCTTTTTTAACTTATATAACTGTAAACTCTGTTGTCATTTTTAGCTGAAAAAGCTCTGTATGTATAACTAACAGATTTTTTGGTGGCATCTCTAATTTTCTCTAACCAACCAGTCTCCTACATTTTACTTAAACATATATCACAGTAGCTGCGGGTTAAAATTCTCAGAGTGCTGCTGTGTGTGTCTCCTCCTCCACGTAGCGACTCTGTACGCAGTGTATAGCCACCCCAAATCGCATTATGTCCCAAAGTAACAGATCGCATGATATTTCACAGAGAGGTGGGACTCGATAGCGGAGAGCGAGGAAAAAACACGGACTGAAAATGCTCTGAACACAGTTAGTTGCCCCCCACCCCAGTTACTGTTGGCCAAAGTAAATCAGCGGAAAGGGGGAAAAAGTGGAAATTATTGGTGGGGACTGTTCGCTCCATGCCCAAGGTTTGGTCGGGACATGTCCACCCCAGTCCTTCAGAAAGTTACGCACAATAAAATAAAGATGTCTTCACAAATGTGTAGTTCATAATCTTACTTCTATCTTCGTGTGTCTTAGAGATATACATCCTGCAGAATGTTGCCACCTGTTTACTTTCTAATACTTGCTCAGAAGGAGGCACAAGGGGATTCCATTAGCATTAGAACCTCAGCAAGGAACTCACAGTGAGGGAGCAAAGGATCCAGGTGCAAGCTGCACTACACTGATCATAAGTACATTTGTTCATCAGAAAAACAATGCAGTTGTTTAATTTGCCACTCTCTTAGTCCACAGATGTTACCTTTTATAACTTTTGACTGTACAGGTGTTCTTCTTTCATCTGTTGAATTAATATCTTTTGATTTTTTACAGTTTTTTTTGTCAGAGAGCAGCACTTACTGGCACACATACAGTATGTGAGAGCTTTTCTTGAAAACAGTTGTCACCTTTGTTACTGTAAGACATCTGTTCTGTGAACTGTACCTGTGGTTCATATGTGTCACAAATATCAAACATGAAAAAGCAGCATATAAAAAATAAGGAGGCCATAATCCTCGGGTACCAATTGCTTGTTCTTGCAGAAAAAATTACCTTAACATCTGTTAGGCATTAGGAAACAAATACAATTCGCTACCCACTTAGTTTCCCATTTATATTCCTACCTGCTTTGATAGACAGAGAGCCAAATGAAAAGATGACAGCACCAAAATAACCTAAAGTGAACCTCAGATAAAAATCCCCATTCATCCTATTATGTTGTGGAAGTGCAATCTAGGGATAGCAATACAATAAGCAGATTCCTGCAAACTCCGGATGACCCAAGCACAAAGTGTGGTTGAAAGGGATAATGCAGTAACACATATTCATCATCCAGATAATTGCATGGCTCTCACTCTCCTACATGACAATCCAATGTGACCATCGGTTCGTAATTGGTATTCTTAAAGCCATTCATATTCCAATATTCATAGTGCCCTTTCTCATTTCCTGTTTAATAAATGCAACTGTTAATTGATAGTGTCAAAACACAATGAAGAAGGCATTTAGAGTAGCTATTTCCTAGATTGCCAAAGGTTAAAGAGCATCATGCACAGTTAATGGATACTTAAAAAGACAGGCCAGATTGCTAGAGAGTAATAGCAGACTGATTAGGTCAAGTGCTAAGGGTAAAAATGAAGAAAAAATGCTGGAAAAAACAGTTATCTTGGTGGATGACAACACTATCATGAATGGAAACTGTTTTATAAAAAACAACAGTTGTTTTTAATCTTAATGAGGAACACAGATGCAACACATTCAAAAGCTACACTTGTGACTGGATTTCTTTAAAGCCACATAAATTATGAATGACAGAGCGACTGCCATTTTAACAACACATCTATA